ATGGACAGCAGCCATGGGCTGGGCAACTGGAGAGCACCTTTTTAGCATGGGAAAAGCAAAACCACAATGAAGTCCTCTTAGACTTGTTCTCCAAGTGCCTGAAGGGCTGTTAGGAGTTGAGCAGGTGGGTAGTGACAGTGAGTGGTGGGAGAATACCTTATAAACTGTTAAGAACACGCTAATAGGGCCGGGGATTTAGCTCAGTGTTTCCACCACCTGCCTCGCAAGCGCAAGGTCCCGAGTTTGATCCCCTGTACAAAAAAAAAAAAAAAAAAAGAATATGCTAATGGGTGTTGAAAGAGGACTGGGCAGGATCATATGAGGATCCTTATGCTCTGCACAAGGGACTGTGGCCTTCTTGGAGCAATTCCATAAAGTAACATGTCATACTTTTCGCCCTGCAGTCAGTTACAATCCAGTCAGTGAGGCAAGAGATTGTAAGGTTAGAGGCAGGACACAATATAAAGCAGTGTGATGCTTGATTATATGTTAAAGAAGTGAAAAAGATAAGAACAATGAGAATTTAGGAGAAAGAAAAGAGAGATTAAAGAAAGCTGGACAATACAGTTTGGAAGGGAATTTTGAGCAGTGTTCAAAAGATACGTAGTAAGGGAATAGGCCAAATATGCATGGGTCAGAGGCTGACTGGAGTTGATAAAGGAATCGGTTTTATTGGGCCAGGTAAGGAGCAAGGTCATACTGGAGGTGGTGCTACATGGCTGTAATCCCAGCTACTTGGGAGGCTGAGGCAGGAGAATTACAAGTTTAAGGCCAGTTTGGGAAAATTTAGCAAAACTTTGTCACAGAAGGAAAGAAAGAAAGAAAGAAGGAAGGAAGGAAGGAAGGAAGGAAGGAAGGCAGGCAGGCAGGTAACCGGGCAGGTACGCTAGGGATGTAGCTCAGTGGGAAGGAGTGTCCCAGCTTCAATCTTTGTTTGTTTTTGTTTTTTTTGAGACAGGGTCTTGCTGGGATTATAGGCCTGTGCCACCACACCCCATCCTTTTTTTTTTTTTTTTGTCTGAGAATGATATCATGTAAATAGGAGACCAGAGACAGATTGGAGGAGGAAGGGAAACCAGCTGTGAGGCCATTGAGAGAACTTTAAGATAAGGTCCTATTGCAGGAGTGTGAAAGGAGAGATGTATTTGAGGAGCACTAGAAGAATCCACAGCACTCACCAATTGGATGCGGACCGAGAGGTGGGGGGGATCCATGACTCACGAAAATCCTCCACAGGAAGTGTGCAGAGGGGAGGGTCTGGGAAAGACTTCTACTGGAAAGGGTTTGCAAATGGAGGCAAAGATTCACATTATCAGCAGTATCTGATTATCCTATAGAAACTGGAATTTCACTGTGAGATAAGCAAGCACAAGATACCTCAATGATTTAATATGGCAACATCAGGGAGCAGCTCTGATGGGATGAGAGAGAGGAAAAAGCACCCTGCTCTAGGCTTATGAGCCCTGGCTGAACACCAGGGTTTCTTCATGATTTCACTGTGTGTACTTGGACAAAGTACTTTAAAATTTATTGGCTAGTTTCTTTACTTGCAAAATGGGGCTATATATTATTTATTCTTTGGGCCTCTGAGACTTAAATAATGACCATCATTCTAGTTTTGTGTTCTTTCTTTGAATTTTTGGCTGGGGCATAGCTCAGTGGTAAAGCAAGGGGCTAGCCCTGTATTTAATTCCCAGCATATGCACACACACACACAAAAGGGATTTTCTTATGTAATACCTTGAGGGTACATTCTATATATTTAAAAATCCCGAATTTATAAAACAATATCCCTTTTATTTGCTCACAATTCTATATTCTGAAACCAGATATGGTGGCCCATGTTTGTAAAGCCAGGTACTCTGCAGGCTGAGGAAGGAGGATGGCAAGTTCTAGGTCAGCCTGTGCAACTTAGTGAGACCCTGTTTCAAAAGCTTTAGGGAGAAAAAAAGGTGTGTGTGTGTGTGTGTGTGTGTGTGTATAACAGCTCAGTGGTAAAATGCTTGCCTAGATGCATGAGGCCCTGAGTTCGTTCCCCAGTACAGCAAAAACAAACAACAACACAAAACAATTGTGCATTCTGGGCTGCGCTCACTGGTTCTGCTAGTCTTACCAGTGGTCACTGATGTGTTCCAAGTCACCTAGTGAGCGGCAGGGCTGAGGCTCTGCTCAGGTGCTGGGTAGCTGGACTTTTACCTCCCTCCACTTATCTTATGGCCTCTCTTCCTCCATGTGGTTTCTCCAGCAAGGTAGCTGACTTCTTACCTAGTAGCTCAGGTCTTCCCAAAGTACAAAAGTGGAAACTTCTTCACCTTAGGGGACGGGAGAGTGGTGTGGGGAAGATGTGCATAGCTTCGCTACTACATTCTCCAGGTTGAGGTAAGTCACTGGCCCAGTGCAGATTTCAAGGGAAAGGCTAAACAAGGATGTGAATAAAAGGAGGCTGGCCCACGGAAGGCCAGCAATGTAACAGACTTCAGCAGTGTTATCCCCCATGCGTAAATGAATAAGCTGTGGTTTAGGGAGGCTAAGTTCCTAGCTCATTATAGAGGGTAGAACTGTAACAGAACCAGGCACTTCTCTAAGTTATGGGTCAACAGATAAAATTTGTAGTGTTTCAACTTAAAATCTTGTGAAGTAGTTACTCTTATTGTCCCTAGTTTGCAAAGGAGGAACCCGAGGAATAGAGAGCTTAAATATCTTACCTGAGGTGATTCAGTAGTTTGCTCTAGAAATTACACACTTACCCAAGTACATGATGCTGCCCCTTCTGGGCAGCACTTGATACATTCAAAAAAACCCCTGTAAATGTAATTTAACCTGAAACTATTATTTTTGGAAGGTCTGGGAGGACAGCAAATGTTATAGAATCATCTACTCTTTTATATATAGGAGGATGTGTGTGTCTGAATTTACCTTGAGACAGGGTCTCCTTGGTGTGGTTCAGGCTGGCCTGGAACTCCTGGGCTCAAAGGACCCTCCTATCTCAGTCTCCTAAGTAGGTAGGACTAAGGTTTCAATTACCATTATATCTTATAGACTGCTTGGGAACTTGGAGTTTCTGAATTATCTTGTGATCAGGGTAATTTCCATTTGAGATATGGACTCCTCCCACCTTCCACTATCTTTCCGTTGAAGCTTAGCAAGGAATTATTCTATATCCTTTGCTCATCCAATCCCCATTCTCATTTTCCTTCTGAAGTAAGGACCTTTCTTGGAGCAGAGCTGACTTCAGGGTTCCGTCCTTTAATCATCACATCAGCCCTGCAGCTTCTGAATTAGTAACCTTTTGGTCCCATTCACTCCCTAGGTCCGCAGCCAGTCACCCCATTGCTGTCACTGCAATGGCTTTTGAGGCAGGTGTGTAAAGCCTCTGCTTCCCACAGGGTGACCTGTAGTGGCTCCCCCTTCCCTTTGCCAGGCAGGGCAGGGAACTTCATGGAAGGCACAGGATTCCAAAGGTTCCTGAAAGGAGCCAAACTCTCTGAAGGTGATCTTTGAAGGTTCACCTGTGAAGGGGATCCCAGAGCTGTCTTGGTTTACCCCGATTTCTTCCACTCTGTGACAGTCTGGAATTAGGAAACTTGGGAGGTAGCTCACTTTGGGTTAGGAAGCAGCTATTCAAGAGTGATCTCAAAATTCTCCTACCTTCCCCAAGGCAAAACTGTGCAGAGACCCTGACTTTTTCTTCAACTTTTCTCCTTAAACTCTAGTTTTTAATTTTGATTTTTTTCATCTTTATAGAATGTTGAAGCACAATGCCTGTAGTTAATATGACTTTATTAAGGTTATAAATCTGGCCTTGTGCTTTCCTTATATTGCCTCATTTGGCTTATTTACTAAACTGCTGTTTGAATCAATGGGTAGGACAGGGGCTTCCCGGAAAGTGACTTACCTCCAGCCACCCTTTCTCACCCCGCCCCACTCCCAGCTGGAGAGGGGTTGAAGGAGAGAAGGAATTGAGCTGCTCCGGAAGGCAAGGCCGCCTCCCACTTCTCCGCAGCTGTCTCGCCAGGCCTGACCTCCCCCTTAGGCAGGGGTCTCCACCCCTCGCCCAAAGCCAGTCGGTGGGAGGGTGGGTGGCTTTTTCCGGGTCACTGGCGCACCCTCTCTACTCCCAGCCACCTGCTCGGGTTCCATCCCAGCTCCAGGCTCCCCGGAGGTCAGGGACATTCCAATCCTCCCACTACCCGCGCGGATGTCGCGGGGGAGGGGGGCGCAATTGCTCTTTCCTTCCAGCACCCAGCTCTGACTCGGTTTCTTCTCTACCGCTAGTGGCCCTGTAAGTCACCCCGTAGAAGAAACTACGGAGTGATGAATGGTGCGAAGGTTGTTTGTCTACGACCCACCCGGTTGCTGAAGCTGCGTCTCCAGCAACTGAGGCACTTTCTGGGTTCAGTCTGCGCTCTTGCGGACAATTGAAAGCCAAGCAGCCAAGATGCCTCCTCACCAGACCAAATATGGTCACAAGCGCTAAGCAGCCTCCTGTGGAAAGGCTGGCCTTCGCGGTGTCTCCCTGAGCTGGGCTGCAGCCGGGCCTGACCTCTGGCAAAAGCGCGGGTCAGTGCAGCGAACCCAGCGGCCTGAGGCTCCCCGCCCAGCCCGAGGGAGGGCGCAGCGCCCCAGACCGACCCTTCCTCGGCCTCCACCCCTCACTCGGGTGCCCTCCGCCACGCTCAGGCTTGGTTTCGGTCCACAACCTCTTGCTTGAACAGGCTCGAGCCACTTTCCCTTTGATCCCGCCCCAAGTCCGTGGTAAACGCAAAGGAATGCAGACCCAGGGCTCCGCGGGAGAGGTCCGCGAGGCCTCGAGGGGTAGTGGGGGCACCCGTCTCCCGGTGCCGGTGAAGTACCCATCCAGCCCAAGGCTTTCTGGAGCGGGGGAGGGGCGAGCGGGGGCAGGCAGGCTCCGGACTTGGAGGTCATGCATAATTCAACAGCTCAGCTTTCGGCCCGCCTCTTTCCTGGGGGTGGGAGTTTTCTCCCAACTTTGTTTATGGGACAGTCGGGGAGCTGCGGCGGCCGCGCAGTCTGCTTGTCCTCCGCCAACTCCTCGCCGAGCGCGAGCGCCTGAGGCCAGCTCGGGGCATGTGAGAGCCTAAGCCCCTCGGCTGCCAGGCACCAAGTCGGGGCGGGATCTGCCAGCTGGGTCCTCGGCTCAGCTTCGCAAGCCCAAGAAGCACTCGAGAGACCCAGGCCCGACGGCTCGCTCGGGCGGGACGGCAGCCGCAGCGCGCTCAGGCTCGGCTTCGCTGTGCCCCCAGGTGGGAGCCGCCGGAGCCGCTGGGGCTCGGGCTTCAGGGGCCGGGACGGCCGGGGCTGACCCGGCTGAGAAGTCTTCGGGCGGGTGGGGGGCCTCCTGCCCTGGAGTGCCGCCAGCACTTCGGCAGCGTCCCAAGCGCAGCTACTCCAGCCTCCCCCACCCCTGCCGCTCCTCCTCCGGGTAACTTCTTAGCTTCAAGAAAGTTGCATAATCCCCGAGGCCAGCCGAGCGTCTGCGATCCCTAGGCGGACACCTAACCGTCTCCTCTACTTCTTTTCTCTCTTCTCTTCTTCCCCTCAGCCTCCTCCAATTTAAAGTAAAAGGCTGATCTGATCTCCTTTCTCCATGCAGAAGATGAATCCGTCCTCGGCGCCCCCTCCGCTCCCGCCGCCCGGGCAGCAGGTGATCCACGTCACTCAGGACCTCGACACGGACCTCGAAGCCCTCTTCAACTCTGTCATGAACCCTAAGCCCAGCTCGTGGCGGAAGAAGATCCTGCCGGAGTCCTTCTTCAAGGAGCCGGATTCAGGCTCGCACTCGCGCCAGTCCAGTACCGACTCGTCGGGCGGCCACCCGGGGCCCAGGCTGGCTGGCGGCCCCCAGCACGTCCGCTCGCACTCGTCGCCCGCATCCCTGCAGCTGGGCACCGGCACCGGCGCGGGCGCGGCGGGCAGCCCCGCACAGCAGCACGCCCACCTTCGCCAGCAGTCCTATGACGTGACCGACGAGCTGCCGCTGCCCCCGGGCTGGGAGATGACCTTCACGGCCACTGGCCAGAGGTACTTCCTCAAGTAAGTCACCCTGCGGCGAGGGGGACACAGCGATGATGCCCAGGGCACGCGCGTGAGCCCTTCTAGGGTTCTTCCCCCAAAGATCTGGAAAGCTAGAAATGGAGAGTGAATTTCTGGGAGTTGGGCTTGTCTTGTAAGAGATCAGAAGCAGGGAAGTGTCCAATGGTGTTCATCCACGGTCCTGGAAGTCCCAAGAGATTCAGAACACAGAAACTCCTAAATTTAAGAGCAAAAAAGAAGGATATTTTGCCCTGAATGCAGACCGTAGGCCTTTGGCCCCCTTTCCCCTTCACTGACCACTCTGAGTCAGTTAGCCAGCTCAGAGCCAGGTCAGACTCCAGGATAAAAGAGAGAAAAGTTGGGAGACTGGGAGGAAGAACCTTCCGGTGGAGTAGCTGGTGTGCAGTACCTTAGCTTTTTGGGAAAAGCTAGCTGGAAAAATGAACAGTGTGTGGTAAACCTCACTGTTCCCACCTGAGTGACGTAGTGGCCAAACAGCAGTGATGTAATTAGCAATTGCATCGGAGTAGCTGTGGGCTGGACCAACCAACTGTGTGGAAATTGGGTCAGGAGTTTTGTTAAGTCATTCTTGGTCACCTAAAATACCATCAAATCAGGAGCCTGCTTTTGTCACTTCCCCTCTCTGTTGCAACTTTTTGATGTAATGAATTTTACAGTAGATTTGAATTTCTGAATTAGACTCTACAGGAAAACACAGCCTCAAACACTAGGGGAGATTGTTTTAGTTGTGGTGTCCTAAGATCATTGCATTCCTGCGGAGAAACCAAGCTGGAACTTGCCTCCTTTCCAGTGAGGTCGTAGGGTCAGCTATCAGAGGCCTGATGAGAAGAAGCACCCGCTGGACCACTCGGTTTGGGGTTGTCTGCACTTGGCTGGCATTCACTGGCAACAAAGGAAAGAGCTAGGAAAAAACTTGCCTTAGAGTTCATCTTAAAGCCCATATTTCTTTGATCTGGAGTGGCCTTAGTTCAGAAAGTCCAAAATGTTAAGACATGTTATTTTAAAAGTTTGATCAAGAACTTCTTTGGCATTGGTATTTGGTACTTGCCTGTGAGAGGGCCCTGAGAATGAGCATGAAGTGATGGCTGTAGTTTATTGTAGCCAACTCTGACTCATTCCGGTGACCAGTGCTTGTTTCTTTCCCATCCCTAAGCTGTGGACATTTTGTGTTTTTTGTGCTGACATTTTTGTGTTTTTTTTTGTTTCTGGGGTTGGTGCGGTTCTGAGATCCTGAAACAGACTGGGTGGTTGTTTATTCCCTAGCTGAGCTGGTCCTCTCTGGGTCATTGAGCCATAGTATAGACACGTGCTCAGTGCTCCGATTTCTAAATGGCTGGCAGAAGTCACGAATATGATGTAATAACAGGACATTTCCTAAATGTGATGATACTGTCCCAAAGAATGGAATTAGTTTCCCTCCCTCCCCTTCCTTCCTTCCTTCCTTCCTTCCTTCCTTCCTTCCTTCCTTCCTTCCTTCCTTCTTTTCAGTGCTGGGGGAGGGTTGAACCCAGAACCTTTGTACTGAGCTACATCCCCAGCCCTTTTTTATTTTTTATTTTGAGACAGAGTCTTGATAAGTCCTTAAGTTGCCCTGGCTGGGTTCAAACTTGTGTTCTTCCTGCCTCAGCCTTCATTAGTGCTGGAGTCACAGGCATACACTGGCATGCCCAGTGGCATTAGTTTCTATAGTAATACAGGTCCAAGATAACTAGTTTGTGTCCTGTATTAAATTCTCTTAGGTAAATGCAGTTTTCCATATCTTATTACGATTTTTATCAAAGTGGACTTAATAATAAAAAAAATAGAGCTTCAGTAATTTTGGGGGGTCCTTTTTGTTCTCAGATGATTTTTTTTTTAATTTAATTTTTTTTTTTGAGACTGAGTCTTACTATGTAGTTCAGGCTGGCCTTGAACTCATTATGTATGTAACCAAGGCTGGGCTCGAAGGTAATCAGTCCTCCTGCCTCAGCCCTCCCGAGTGCTGGGATTACAGGCATGTGCCACCACACCCAGCCTCAAGATTTTTAAACTTTATGAATATACACATGTATATAGTATATGATAAGTATAGATGTGATAATTGCTGGAGATGACGGTGTGTGCATGTAATCACAACACTGAGGCGGCCGAAGCAGGAGGATCACTATGAATTCAGTGCCAGCCTAGCATACATAGTGAGTCCAAGGCTAGCCTAAACTACATAGCCAGACCCTGTCTCAAAAAAAAAAAAAAAAAAAAAAAAGATTATTAAAAATAGAAAATAAAAGCCAGGCTCAGCTGGCCATGGTGGTGCATGCCTATAATTCCAGCACTCAGGAGGCAGAGGCAGGAGGATCACCGCAAGTTCGAGGCCAGCTTGGGCTGTGTAGTGAGTTCAGGGCCAGCCTGAACTACAAAGTGAGACCCTGTCTCAAAAAACAAAACAAAAAAAAAGACAGGCTTGCCTGATATCTGTGGAAAGCTAAAGGAAAAAGACCACAAAACCAAAATTTCTTTTATACATCTGTTTTGAATGATCAGAGTAAACCAGAACTGTTTGTGATTTATGGTAAAAATGGAAGTTAGCCTTTGGTTTTAGGGAAGCTGCTGTGTTCCTCTCTGCCTATCTCCCCTCCCCTACTCCCTAACCCAGGGCAGAGTACAACTTCATTTCACTTAGTCAATGAAGATGACAGCTAAAAAGTGCTTTGTACATTGACCACATCTGATTCTATCTGGAAAATTTTTGTCCAAGTGAATAGGAGAATTTAAGAAATTAAGTCATTGTGATTGACTATTATCTTTCAGTATAGGCAATCTGCCAGGAGTTCTCATAAGTTTCTTTTAGAGCTTTGTTTAAAGTTTGAAGAAAGAAAGTAAATGGTTTTTTGTTTGTTTGTTTGGTTTTTTTTCTTTTGAGACAGGGTCTCGCTATTTAGTCCAGGCTGGCCTTGAACTCACTAAGTAACCCAGGCTGGCCTCCAACTCTTGGCAATCCTTCTGACTCAGCCTACTGAGTGGTGGGATTATAGGCATGCACTATCATGCCTGGCGATAAGAAAAGTAAATGCTATATATCACATTTTGTTACACAGCCTCAAAAGGCAGTATATTTTGGTGGGTTAAGTAGAAGCTTGAGAAATGGTGGCAATTGACCTTGACATAATTTTCTTAAAATCTGTCTATTACTTTGCACCCTTATCTGTGAAATGGGGCCAGCTGAAGAATCCTGTTCTTCACTCTGCTGAGAATTGAGGGCTGTGTATATCAGAAATCGAAGGATTTTAGAATCGACAAGGATCAATTTTGCTTTTTTTTTTTGGCTAGAAATAAGGGGGCAGCAAAGGATGAGGGCACGACTGTGGGAAGCCCTGCAGTTACTTAGTGCTGGACCCTGAGCTGGACCTCTGTTAGTTTCCTTTCCTCGCCCCCACCTTGCGCCGGCTTACTTCCCTAGCTGAACCATGAGCTTTATGGTAAGCACAGCCTCGACATCACAGAAGCTTTGAGAAGTCTTTTGTCGTTTTCTCAGGTAAGATTGTCCCCAGGTATATGATGAGACCACTTTGGGGTACCTCTCAAAGGTCACCTTTCTTGTGCATGTGCACCTTTTCTGGGTGTTCAGGTATCAGGGCCCTGGATAACAAGGGAAAACCCTGTGGCCTCAGGAAAATCTTCCCTTGTTCCTCTTTTCCTCCAGGCCTGCAGATCAGGCTGGGGTGTGCGACAACCTAGCACGCTGACTTTGAACACTGGTCACATTGAGTTTTAAAATTTCTGGTTATAATAGAATACTTTCTTATTAGTATGCTTGTAACACATAACATACATTCATCATGCGGAATTGGTACCTACACATACACTGTAGCATCTCGATCCTTTTTATTTTCTCTTTATGGCTCTCCCTTGGAATATATGTTTTTTGTACATAAACCAGAAAACAAAGAATGATAAAGATAATGATCTCGCTTCAGTAGAATTTTCTGCCTTTATACTACAAACATTCTCGTACTTTTATTTGAGTACCACAATTCTGTAAGAAAAGGATATATGTCCTGTTCTTATATACAATTCCAGCTATAGCATTTGGCTGCACTCCTAGTTTTTAGTAATAATTTTAGTGTTTTGCCCGTTCTGAAATTTGTGGCAAAAATTGTTTCTGTCAAACACATGTTTAAATACCACATTGTTTCGCTGGTGTGAGAAACAAAGTGGACATAAGGCCCAACATGTATAATAAATACTGGGACATGGGAAGAAAATGTTCATATGAGAAGGGGAACAAGAGAGGGGCGAGGGGGAAAGGAAGGGACAAGAAAACAGAATAGAAGGAAAAATTGGAAACAAAGCTTTTGTAAATAAGGAGGGGAAAGTGGGGTTGAAGGGGGAATGGGAAAAAGAAGGAAGATATGTCATGTACAGGTACAAATTCCCTATGATGGATATTATTATGCATATCTAAAATGTACCATAAATGTTTCGCAAAAAAATAATTTCTGTCAAGGAGATCAATACACTTGGTAATGAATGCTATATACTACAGAAGGATTTTTGTTAGAAACAGTGGTTTCTTTTACCTCCTGAAGGCTCGCAGAGAGGGCCTTTTAATTTTTTTTTTTTTTTGGTACCGGGGATTTGAACTCGAGTCCTTGAGCTTGTGGGGCAGGTGGCAGAACCACTGAGCTAAATCCCCAGCTCTGACCTTTTAATTTTTGTAAAAACTGTTGTGTAATTCTTAGATTGTTACCTTTTTAACTAGTTGTGATATACTTATACCATCTTTATTTATTTTTTATTTTCCAACTTTAAGCTTCTAATATGAAGGAAGAATGTAGTTCCTGAAACTAGTTTTCTTTTTCCTGTCCTAAGTTTCTTTTTTTGTTGGTACTGGGAACTGAACCCAGGGCCTTTGTACTGAGTTACATTCCTAGCCCTTTTTAAAGTTTTAAACTTTTAAGACAGTGTCTTGCTAAATTGTTCAGGCTAGGCTCAAGCTCATA